GAAAGAGAATGAGGAAGAGACTGAAGGGAGCAAGTTATGGCATCACCTTCACAGCAGGATGTCACAGGGATTCTTCCCTCCCTTCTCTCAGTATCTATACACCTTCCAAAATCCACACGTCTCAGCCACACAGCAGTTCTGATGCTTTGCAGACAAGTGGAGGGCACAGGGGCTGTCTGCCAAGAGTTGAGGAGAACAAGCAGGTGGTACCACAACCAGAGAGGGGATGGGGACAGAGGTGCAGGAGGAACGTGGTGACAAAGGGAGGTTCAGATCACAGCAGAGAAGGAGTTATCACTGATACTATGACAGCAACGTGCAACAACTGCTGTGCCAGGACAATTAGGTGTCACACTCAGGGCCACAGCACTACCACAGGATTGGTATCCCAGCCAGCATTCCTGAAGGTATCTGCACTGTTACCAGAATATGCTTCAGGGCTACTAGAGGAGCTAATGGAGGAACCGAAATCTTAAATCACTACCCAAGGGACTGGAAAGAACTAGCAAGAGGTGCTTTAAAGACTCAGAATTTATGCAAAAAGACCACTGGAAGGAGTGCTCCCAACCCAAACCAGTAACAATCTGCAGAACAGTTATCTCAGTGCATGGATTTGTCACTAAACCTGTTGCCAGCCCACTTCTGACACCTGTAATGACAGGGACCTCGACTCTAAAATTATTCCTTAGCTATTCAGGATTATCATACAAGGCTTATCTGTGTTCATGTCTGTTTTCTCTGAATAAGTAACCTTCCCATTTTGCTCATCCCATCATAATTTCACTTCCTAACCGAGTTCAAACAGGAGATGTTCGATCCACATATCACACAAGATGTCTCCAAATTAAAACTTTCTCCTTCCCACCACTCCCTAGGTGGGCCAAGGCATAAAATTCAGATACAGGCTACAAGCCCAATTCTAAACAAACCAAGGGAAAACTAGAAGTGTGTCCTCTCCCTTTATTACGCTTCCCTTTAAGAGGAACCATCACCTCCTCTGTAAAAACCAGGTACAGCACTGGTGAAGATGCAGAAATTCCCTGACGCATAGAAAGAAACAGCTGTTTTTGTGAAGACCTATAAACTAGTGGGGTTTCAAGTTTTCTGCAAGGGGATCAGGTCAGCACTTGTAGCCACTCCTTTCTGTCCACATGCTATGGATTTTGCCACCAAATCGTGATGGCAATTGTTTGAGCAGAAGGAAAATCACAGCTCAGGTCAGTAACAGAAATCAGTTCCATATTTAAACAAACAAAAACCCCACAATCGCTGTTTGCAGTCAGGGCAGAAGAAATGAAGTCCCCAGCCCCTCCCTGCCAACATATGCAGTATGTTTTGAAATACAGACCTTGGTGCCAGGATATGATGTATAGAAAGACAAGAGCAGACTACTCCTCATTTTAATAGGTGCAACTTAACCAGAATACTCAAGACCCACAACATTTGACCAAAGGGACCAAGCATTGCAACAGCCAGAAGCCTGCAGCTACATGAGGTGTAGGACAGAAGGAACTGCCCTCTGAGCTCCAATGAAAAACCCTGCTGAAGTCTGCTTGGGTCCACCAGCCTGAGAGCAGCTGTGCTCTGCTGGGCTGTGGGCAAACCTCTCACACCCGCAGCACCTGCGGGCCCTGCAGCACACAGGCCTTCCCTGGCAAGTTGGACAGACTCATGGAATGGTTTGGGTTGGAAGGGACCTTAAAGATCATCATGTTCCAACCCCCCTGCATGGGCAGGGACACCTCCCACCAGACCAGGCTGCTCAGAGCCCCATCCAACCTGCCCTTGAATGCTTACAGGGATGGGGCCTCCACAGCTTCCTGGGCAACCTGTTTGAGTGCCTCACCACCCTCACACTAATGAACTTCTTCTTCCTAATGTCTAACCTAAATCTCCCCTCCAGTTTTAATCCACTACCCCTTGTCCTCTCCCTACAAGTCCCTGTAAATGTCCCTCCCCAGCTCCCCTGGTGTCCCCGCAGGCGCTGGAAGGTCTCCCTAAAGCCGAACACCCCAACTCTCAGCCTGTCCGCACAGCAGAGCTGCCCCAGCCCTGGGCTCACCCCGCGCCCTCCTCCGGCCTCGCTCTCTCCTCCCGGGCTCCTACCTGCTGCGTGAGGTACCGGGTGCGGTAGGGAGCGGCGGGGGGGGCAGCGCTGCCCCGGCGG